GTTACAGGACAAGTAATGATATGTTTATTTTATTTATCAAATGACCAATTAAAATAAATAGATAAAGTAAGAGTAAAAGTGGTTTTTTAAATAGAAAGTGGAATTGTTTTGTTGGAAGTGAAAAAATGAAAGAGAAAAAGTGGAAGTGTTTTGTTTGATAAGTAATCGCAATCGAGAGTAAAGTGTGAAATGAGAGATGCTACATGGAGCAGAGATGCACTCATATTTTTGGGCTGAATGTTACATATTGGACTTTTTTTCTAAATACTATCTCGGTCCATGAATATTTATCTATTTTTAATATTTTGCGGTCAATCATTTTAATATTTGACATATAATTCAATAAAATATACGGAGTATATTTTATATTAATGTGATAAAACAGAATTTTGAAAATATTTTATAAAATAAATTTAATATCAATTTTATTTAATTAATTATTACAATTTATCAATTTTGACTATAAAAAATAAAAAATGACAAATACTCAGGGACAGGAGTAATGCAAATTACTCTATTCTTGAAATATTAAGAGAGACATGCTACTTTTTTCTTTTACCATATTTGACATTTTAAAGTTAAATTGGATGCACTTAAATTTCTTACTCCCTCCGTCCCTATGTATTTGTCCACATTTGACTTTTGGAACTGTTCATCTAAGCACTTTGACTCATTAAATTTTCTCAATGTGTAAGCCTAAATATAGTCATGTGTGATCTTGTTTGATTTGTCTTAACATATAGATTATTAATATGTAATTTTTATAATTTTTTAATATACAAATGACGGAGAGAGTATGTTTTTTAATATACATCATGATTGAGTTTGTGATCCAAATCTATTAACATCTTTTGTAACATTAGTAATGATACACATGTGGAAGGAGAAAACAAGCAAGTTCGTCTCAACATTCTCAACTTTGACATGTCAAATAAAATTTAGTCAGTCTTTAGACACAGACAATTCTATCATACTATTTCAAGTGTGATATATTGACAATGATTGAAAATCTTGGCTTGCATTGAAGAAAACAACTTTCTCAGTCACGCTTCAAATTTTGTATATAAAGAAGTTTTTTGAGTTATGATTTTATTTTGTTTTACTAATATCATGCACTATTGATTGATGAAACATATTATGTGGATTACACCGGAAATTTATACAGAATTGAAATTTAATGACCTATCATATTGTCTATAATTATATCTTATTTATATTTTTTTATTGTCTACATCATCAGTTAATATTTTTACCGTTCATCGCACGGGTTAGAATCTAGTCTCTTTACAAAGCTAAAAGGAAAAAATTCCCGCCTAAACATTTGGGTCTAATTACATAAATATGGGCCTGTTTTTTTAGTGAATTAGTCCGTGTAAAATCTTTTGGACCAATTGAGTTTAATAAATACTTAAATAATTTTATTTTAAATATACTCAACTGCCATCAATAAATTAAAAACAAACTGTTAAAATTGCAAGTCACACAACTGGGAATAAAATTGTGTTTTCCTTTGTATAACAACAACAACAATAATTAGAATAATTCTCAAAGTCACTGTAAAAATATAAAAAAAAATGTGCTCGCGTGTTGAGAGTACCATCACTTCATGTTCATGCAAATTTAGCCCTACACTAAGAAGAGGCTAAGAAAACAAATAATAATAATAATAATAATAGTAATAATAAATTTTGAGTGTTACTGTAAAGTAAAAAAAATAACAACCGTCGCAGTCCACTAATGCACCATTATTTGCACGTTGGTAACTTCTCTGCTCCTCGTGCTGGAAAGATAAAATAAAATCAAACAAAATAAAAAATGAAATTAACTACCCCACTACTTATCCCACTAATGCCCCCCACGTCTACATCTTCATTTCACCCCATTCCCCCATTAAGAGGACCCTTATAAATTGAAGCTTCGCCCATCAAACCTAAAGTTCACCACAAAGCACAATGAAAATTTATAGATAAATTTTGCAGCTATTATTTCACCAATTTGGCTAGGACAGGAAGCAATAGCCCACCCATGGTCAAAGTCGGAGATGGTCATTTCTTAAGGAAGTTGACAAGATCGAACGAGGAGAAAGGACAAATTTATAGATTGGGCAAACTGTTCGGGCGTACCACTCTGTGATCAAGGAAAGAATATGATGGATATAATTTCTTAGTGTAAAATTTCATTTTTTTTGGTTTGAAAAATGTTTGTATATAACACAGCCAAGTATCTTTTAAATATCTATGTTGATGTACTTTTTTTTTCTATAGGAAAGTGGAACCGATGCAAAGGTAAAATATCGATGTTTTACGTTTACTGAATATGTTATACTCCATCCGTTCCACAAAACTCTTCCGGTTTTGACTTTGGACAAAAATAAGGAAAGTGTAATTTTGGTTGGCTTTCCAATATTGCCCCTAATGTGATGGGAAAAAGTAAGATGTGATAGTTTGGTTGTTAGTGAAAAAGTATGATATGATAGGTAGGGTATGAAAAAGTAGGGGTAAAAGTGGTTTTTTAATAGAAAGTGGAAGTGTTTTATGGAAAGCAAAAAAAAAAGCGAAAGAGAAGGAGTTTTGTGGAACGGAGGGAGTATGTTATTTTATAATAAAATGAATCTATGTTATAGTCGTGATATGAATTGCATCTGCTAATTATCTCTTCCTCTGCTAAAATACTAATTATTTTAACTTAAAAGTGGGTCTTCTTTGAGAAGACATAATTCAATATTAAAAAATGTTAAAGAGTGTCATCCCACATCGAAAGTTCAAAAGTAAAATAATCGTTATATAAGCTCTTGAGTTGAACTAACTAATCGATTGGATTCAATCTTTTAATGTGGTTCAAGCCAAGTGTCTTATTACCCAATCCCCCAGTTGTTCATATCTCATCCTAAATTCTATCAAAAAAGTCGTTATGAGCACATGAAAAACTAAAACTGATTGAAGGCATGAACTCTTACTGATGGATATGTTAACCGTAAACTCTTACTCAATATCACTTTTTGGATGAAATTATATGTACTAAACACATATTATACGAAATTAAATCTAAGTGTTACTGCGTATTTGTGAGTCATAGCAGTGGTGAGTTCCTACTAAACCAATGAATATATGTAATAAAATAAAAGTTGTGGGGGGAGGGGGATTGTATTAGCCTTTAGAACATGCATATTTAGTTACCCCTGATTGTAGATAATGAATAAAATAATTAGCCTCATATTAAATGGATTTTTATATTTGTGAAAATAAATTAATTAGTTTCATTTTGAGAGCAGGGGTAAAACAAAGTAATGCCACACCTATTATGTTTGCCTTTTTTGAATAATAAAATTAATTTATGAATAAACAATACATTATTACCTCGATGACAAAGTAATTGATTGCATTACAGATCCGTAAGATCTAATAGAGTTTTAAAATAATTCGCATGAAAATCTAAGGAACTTATTCGGTTGCATGTAGCAATTCAATCACAAAAAAACTCAATAGTGAATGAAAACAAATCGTAAAAATACAAAATATAGGAAATAAATAATGAATATGATTTCATTCTCATGTCATAGAGCGCAGTACACTAGATGTAAGATAAAAATCGTGGCCTGCAACTCTTTGATAAATAATCACAATCGAGAGTAAAGGGTGAAATGAGAGATGCTACATGGAGGAGAGATGCACTCATATTTTTGGGCTGAATGTTACATATTGGACTTTTTTTCTAAATACTATCTCTTTCCATGAATATTTATCTACTTTTAATATTTTGCGGTCAATCATTTTAATATTTGACATATAATTCAATAAAATATACTACGGGTATATTTTATATTAATGTGATAAAACGGAATTTTGAAAATATTTTATAAAATAAATTTAATATCAATTTTATTTAATTAATTATTACAGTTTATCAATTTTCACTATAAAAAATAAAAAATAAAAAATGACAAAAATACTCAGGAACAGGAGTAATGCAAATTACTCTATTCTTGAAATATTAAGAGAGACATGCTACTTTTTTCTTTTACCATATTTGACATTTTAAAGTTAAATTGGATGCACTTAAATTTCTTACTATAAAATTTAGATGTTTTTACTGTGTCTACATAATCAGTTTATATTTTTACCGTGCATCGCACGGGTTAGAATCTACTTCCTCCGTCCCATAAAAAATGTTACGTTTCATTTTTTGCGCATCCCATAAAATATTTTTATATCGTCTCGAACACCAAAAAAAACTTTCAAAACGACTCCTACCCACAATAAATAGTAAATGTGGTAATTTTTAGGTATTTTAGATGCGGATAGACGTGTTTTTTGGGATGCGCAAAAAATGAAACGTAACTTTTTTTATGGGACGAAGGGAGTAATAATTTAATAACAGATGAATAGAACTCACGGTGACTAAATTTTAAAACAAAAATTGAAGAGAAAATTATGAATAAAAAAACTCAATGTGAATATAAATGTCGAATTCATTCACGAATACTCGTTACCCAAAACAAAAAATTAGAGTGGCGTTCCGCCATTCTCGTTCGGCATTAAGATGTACTCCCTCCGTCCCAAAAAGATTTACACGTTTCAAAAAAATTGTGTCCCACAAACTCTTACCCATTTCTATTAAAAAACCACTTTTACCCCTTACTTTTTCAAACCCTACCTATCACATGATACTTTTTTCCCAATAATCTACACATCACATCCTACTTTTTACCAATCACATCAAGGGTATTTTTAGAAAGTCAACACAAAATTATCCCCCTAGTTTCAACTTTAGTCAAATTGGGTAACAATTTATGGGACGGACGAAGTAATAATTGTCTGAGCCTAGTTTGGACTAATTTAAAAAAAAATAAGGATTTGAATTCGCAGCAACAAATTAAAGGACTAATTTCCGTTTATTTTTTAACGCCGTTGATCTACAGTGTCTTCCGCACACATCGCCACCAGGCAGTGGCCTATTTCAATTTGATTGCAGTCTACCGAGTTCATATCCTTCGTTTCTTGGCCGACCAGATACACCGCTGTTGATTCTCCTTCTTCATTTTCCATCTTTTTCTTATTCGGATTTTCCCAATCTTTGATAGTTGCCGGCCGCTGTACTGATGCTTCGTACATACTTTGCCCAGGTACTGCTTTGATTTCATTCTTCATTTCCTACGTTTGCCTGATTTTCTTTTGCTTTTTGAGAACCTTTCTGATTTGTTAGTTCAAAACTGATTTATTTTTTATGCTAGGTTTTGAAATTCTGTAGCCTACAAATGTGAAATCTGAAATTAGAACCTCTAAATTTGAATGAATTGGGTGTTCAGTTCATGGCGTGGGTCTGAGTGGTGTATGAAGGCTCTTGAAAAAAATTCATGATTTTGATGAAAAATTAATTTCCGTCAAATTTCAAATACCCAATTAAAGCTTATAGCTCGCAGAATAATGGCTCGTGATATAATCCAGATGCTATTAATGATGAATACACGCTCATTACTGCTTATTTAACGTTATAAACCAGTTCGATTTTAGGTTTTTCTGGAAACCTTACCAAAAGTGGAAGGCATCATTTGTCAGATTGCTGAGAAGTCGCCCCCCGGCCGCTTGGAATCCCCTACCGGCGGCGGCGAGCAGGTGTTCAAGTCGGTGCTCGATTGGGAGTAGCAGTAGCAGTAACCGCGGAAACTGTTTCAGCGGGTTTAGATTGATCGGATCTAGGTATTGTAGCTCTGTGGTCGCCGGAGGATATGGGGACGGTAGAGCAGAAGGGAAAGGGAGTGCTTTTGCAGGCGTGTGAGAGTGTCGGCATTGTCAAGTCTTCCGAGGAGGCTGCCTCCATTGCTAGTCTCCTGGACGAGGCAGGTGTCATTTGGATTTTCGGTGATAAAGTCCTATCTTCACCCTGATCTGGTACACACTCAAATCTAGCTTCAGTAGTTTGTCTTCCATGGTGCATTAACAATTATGTATGTATGAAAAGTGATGAGTTGCCACATCCTTGCCCCAATTGCCTTGTTTATTATCCCCTTCACAGAGACACGCAATGTACAACGCTTTCACAGAATGTGGTTTGAAAGTGCAGAGTGCGGTTATTCGAGCTTGTCTTGAACCTATTTTGAATCCAGCTTGAGCTCGACTTGTTAAGGTTTTGATCTCGGGACTGAGATCGAACCCGACTTGATTCAAGCTTGATGTTGAATCTTGTCAGGTGTCGCCCTTTACAAGGAATATGTCTGTAAATAAATGATCTTCCTATTATATAAATTCCAGGGTCAATGTTGTTCACATTCCTTCCGTCGACACAAGAGTTGGAGTAGAAAACACACGGATGTTCATTTTCAGGCAAATCCAATTACATTCTGAGGTGAAAACCCCCTAAATAGGAGTAAAAGATATGTCATATCCCAAAATAGGATCTCAAACTTAAACTCCCTCAAATAGGAGTAATTATTCTAATCTCTATTAAACCGGGCTTTCACCCCTTTCGGATCAAACGCTATCATGCTCCTTTTTCTCTCTTCTTCTACACATTCTAACATGATTCGTCTGTTCATCTTAATCTCTCCAATTGGTCTTTTTCACATATTGAGAATGAATCAGAGCTTCCAATTGTTCTTTTTCATGGGGTCTGCAAAATGTTAGGAAGTACATTAGTAAAAGATAGAGATACGATCTGGGCACCTTGATTTCTATTCCTTCTTACTAAATTTTGATTTTACAATAATAGAAATGAATTGTTATTTTTTTTGTTTTTGACATTATAAAGGAACGAGTTTGTCATTATGTAGTGATATGTTTGTCATTGTGATTGTCGCATTTGGCATTGTAGATTCGATTGCCACTCATGCTATGCATTTCTATGTATTATTACAATAGCCCATCTAGTCTTTGTTTTATTAATAAGGAACATTTAACCATTATCAATGGCCCCCGCTGTATATATGAAATGATGTCAAAGATTAGTTTTTTGCTATAATAAAAAAGGTACACAGTGTCATTGGATTTAGTTTGACATTATGTCATTGTGTAATATTGTAACATTATATATGAGCATATATGTGGCATTATATATGGGCATCTATAGTATTATATATTGTCATATGTGACATTACATGGTGCCATGTTTGACATTATTATGTCTTTCTTTGACACTGTATTGACGATTAATGCGGCACTGTGGCGGCAATGGTGCAGATTGTGATGGTAGTTTGTTGATAATGGTAGTGATATTGTCAGCGGTGACAACGAAAAATCAAAAGCGTCAATGACAGGTTTCTTTGTAGCGGTGCGGCGGAGCAGAGGACAGCGGTGGTGGAGATTCAAGTGATAGTGGTAGGTATGTGGCGGCGGCGATGGGCATCACTGTCGACGACGATTGCGATAGTGGGCGTCGCTGTCGGTTGCATGTTGTTGTGAAATTGGCCAAATTTTTTTAGTTTTCAACTTGGCCACCACTGGTATTGGCCGCAAATGCGGCGCATGTGGGGAGCATTTTTTTGTTTTATTAATTAAATTAAAATCTTTATTTTAACTTTTTATAAAAAACAAAAAAATGAAAAAATCAAAAACATGACTGCAAAAAAAAGTCCCATGCAGTTACTTAGTATAGTGCTCCTTAAGTTAAAATCTGATCATGCTCCTTACAAAAAAGTGTAATCACTGGTATAGTCGCATGTAGCCACCACTGGTATAGTCACATGCATCTTTAAAAAATGTGCGTGTGTGGAGCATTTTTTTGTTTTATTAATTAAAAATGTAATCACTGATAGTGCTCATATATAGTGCTCCTTTTGTTTTATAACATATATTTTACTCCTAGTTTGTTCCTTCTTCCATTCTGAGATGAAGCCATTCCCTATTCATGGAGTAAAAGATGTACTGTCTTTCGTTAATCATCTATTCTTCTTCAAATTGTAAAATAAAATGTGAGACCCCTATGCACTTGGTACTTTAAATTCTAAAAATATTTTTTAAAACAAATTTTCAATAATAATTCAAGATAATAGCATAACTTATAAATCTTTCGATGTAGTATGATTAAATATATTATTGATATTACTATATTATTTTGGAAAATTATTTTAAATAATCCCATCTTTTCATCACTTTTTTTCAAAAATAATCTCACTTTTCACCGTTACGGTAAGACAATCAAGTTCTACGCGACAATATAGTTTTAACATTTTTTTGGAATACTTTTTATGACACCATATTTTTGGGTGTTGACTTTGACAGAGTAAAAATTGAATTAATTGACATATAATTAAAAGTACTCTCATATTCAATCAATATTATTCAATTTAAATAATTTATTTCAATATATCATTTTACAAAAGTTCACATCTTTAACTACTTCTCATTTTTATGCAAATTACATATTTAAAATGTCACAGCTCAAAATCCGTACATTAGATTTCTTCATAAAATATACCGTTAGATTGATCTATTCGAGCCCTATCCATAAAACTCAATTTTAACAAAAGATCATTGACTACAATTTTTTTTAAATTTTTAGTCAAACATAGAAATAATATTTTGTTGGGTCAAAATATTGTTTTGAAATTCTTTTTATCATAAAATAACTTTTAGACCATGTTTTGGGGCGTTACAGACCCGGTTATATTCTCCTTCTTCTAAAAGAACTACTTAGAGTAACTCTTTTTTATTTGTCTAAAAAAATTTACACTTTATCTATTTTCTACTCTATTTTCTTTTTGAAAAATATTTTCTACTATATGATTGACTCATTATTTATCCATTTTCATTTTATAAATGAGCAATTGACTCATTATTTGTCTATTTTCCATTCTTTCATTGACATAATACAAATGGAGAAATGGAAAATTAGAAATTACTCGGAATGGAAAATTCATTGACTCTATGACATTCTTGTAGGTTTTCCAAAATTCAAAATTTTTTGGACTTACTCCGGAGTATATTTTAAGATATACGAACTAAAATAAAGTAAAAAAAGTATATAGAGTACGTAATACCTTGCAACTTAAATTGGTAATTACCTATTCTGATCCAGAAAACCTTGTAATAGGTTTGGATTTTAAGGAGATGGCAAGACAAAAGTTTTCCTTTTTAAAAAGACTTCGATTTAAGAAGGAAAATGATTTAATTTTCCTAAATGCTATAAAAACATACCAATCAAAGATAAAGTAAATTTGGAAGGAATTTTCTAGATTCAGCTCACCTTATTAAGCCACATAACAACATATCAATTAGTCAACTTCTTGTATTGCCAAATCTCAGCTTTTCGGAATTCAAACTCTCAAATTTTATACTCGGTACTAAATGATAAGTGTAATATCTTGGGCACTAAATGCAGGAAGTGCATTTCTAAGCTAGTGCCTACATACATGGGTACATATAATTAATTAAAGGGTGATTTCATCATTATAATCAAGAGAACTTATATATATTACTTGTAACAAATAATCTGCAGAAAGCAAAGACCAGAGAGGCCAGTGATCAGTACATATGGAATTTAAAAAAAAAGAACATATGAAAGGAAAAAAAACCCAAGACATATTATTTTATTTTCCGACCACCTCTTATTAATTAGTTGCAAATTAAAATGAAAACCCAGTAATATAGTATAATCATCAATCGACCCTCAATTAATTAATTAATTAATTAACTCTTTTCAATTGCAAATCTCTCCATTGTTTGGGTGTGGCTCGCAATAGTCCTGCGTGTTACCCGCCGGCCAACTCTCGCTCCTACTCCCGGCGGCCGCCGCCCCCTTCTCAGCCACCACATTCTCATTGGTTATTCCACCTCTCATCGCTGCATATATACAAACATTATTACATGCATGCACCCATTGCATGCATATTATTATTCATCCATTCATATAGTATATATATTAGTATATATATATAATACTCTATTTGTCAAAGGACTCATTACTCATTCAAAGGCATCATTTTCAAGAAAGATTTTTATATTCTGATACGATTAAATTTTCACTTCACTGATAATACAGAGTAATCAATTATTTTTTTCGAATCAATTTTGAAGAATACAAATTATTAATTACTTCGATCCCAAATTTTATTGCATGTTAATATAATTAATGATGTAAAATTATGAAATAAAAGACTCAAAAAAATTAATCTAATGATGTCATTTTTTTTCCTAATAAAAATTAATTAGAGTAAGGAGTAAAACATACCCTTAATTTCCAAAACAACAGTGACATTTTTCAATTGCCAAAATAGACATTTAATTTATATCGGGATAATATATGTAACAATGAATATTGTCATTTCATAGTGTTTTTTTGGTATTACGTATTAATATTGGTATTAACATTGTAACTCTTATTTTAAAAATAAAAATACAGACTTCTAACTTCGATACTTTCTCCATAATTTACTCTTAGTTTATGATTTTTCTTGGATAGTATAATAATTTTTTAAAGATAGTAATTAAAATGGATACAAATTTTCTATTATAATTAAGGTATATATGCATCGGATATTAAATGAATATAATGAAATGCAAAAATAATAAAGCCAAAAAAAAGAAGAAGCTAGGCATAGAAGAAAGATTATTGAAGTGGAAGCCGACCGGAAGTGGCCATGAAGAAGAGCATCACAAAGAAAAAGGCAGCTGCATATGAACCATGTGAAGGACCCATTTGATCTTTTAATTATAAACTAAAAATAATATGCTATAAATATATTATTTCTTGTTGTGAAAATTATACTCTGGTTCTATATGTATATATACTACCTGCTAGTACCTACCCCTTCCTCAAAAAAATATTCCCTTACGGGATTTTCTCATTTGTTTCATCTCTAATTATCAAAAGACCAACAAATTATTCCCTTAAAGTCTAAAGCTATGTACTCTATAATTATTTCTCTGTCGATAATTCATTTGATGCATATATAAAAGCGCATACACCCTAATATTATAGTATATTCAACACATGCAAGAACTCGCGACATTTTAGTGTGGCTTGACCATATAGTCTACCTCCGCCACGGAATAATTAATGCACATATAAACAACACAATTAAAACGAAGCATGTACGAAACCTTTTTTTTATTTTTATACTGATTTTCAAATAAAATAAATTTTAAAAACAAAAAAAACAATATTTGTAGAGTAATTTCCTCCTGAAATTTTATTCATGTGTGTGATGGCCACAAGCTAAGGGTTAGGGCTGCGTTACGTTCAACTTATTTTTTATGCTTATTACTTATTCTTATTATAATCAGACCAGACAGAAATAATTTTAATTATAACTGCAACATGATCAAATAAAAAACCATACTAGATCAGATCTTCCAAAAATCAAATCATTAACTCGCTCATAACTCAACTAGCAAAGATTTTGAGTGATTTAAGACTTGTAGAGTTGCTGGTCTACGTAGTGAGAAAGTTCGAATCCCAACCGCCAACACAAGTTGTGGATTAGGCACGAACGTGAGAGACCCCTGTAGTGGGAGTTCTATCTTTTTTTATTAGAATTTAGTATCTGTTACTACGTACTGCGTACATATTAATGGTTAAAGTCTTACTCAAAAGTTGCAGAGAAATGATTATTAATACGGAGTAAATGTGATTTTGAGTTGAATTAAGTAATCAATTAAAATATTAAATCGTGAAAGTATGTTGGCGTAGTAACAAAAAGCCACCCCAAGATTTTTCACATCAAGTGTTCGAGCGCCATTATATCCTCGCGCTTAAGAGGCTGAGATTATAATTACATTAATTAGATACTAATATACTATACTTATGAGTCAGGGAGCTACTGAAAAAGAGTAATATATTGAATTCAATGTTTTAATATAATTTAACCTAACTAATAGGTTGTTTGGGAGTGATTAGCTTATGGATAAAGTGATTTCTACAAAAGCTGAAAGCAAAAACACCTCATACCCGCTTCTCCAAAACGGTGTTCCATATACAAAATAATGTTGGTGAAAAGTAGAAGCTGACATGCCAAACAGAGTAAAATCACTTCCACTCAAAGTAGAAGCTAAATTGTTAAAAGCAGCACACTGCCAAACACCCTATAAGTGCCTTGTATGATCACTCTTAATTAAGTCATTCTTGGAAGTCGAAAGCAATTATATAAGATATTAACAAAAATGGAAGGAAATAGAAGAAGAAACTTGAAAGACTTGGAAGAACCATAACTACCTTTCATTTTGGGAAGACACAAAATGATGCTAGATCACATGCAATGTTTGTCAATAATCAATTAATAAGATATGATAAAAGCTTCCTTTTTTATCTTTATACCATTTTTCAAATAAAACAAATTTAATTTAAAAAACTTTACAAAATTTTATATCTTTTCAAATTATTTTATTTAATTACAGCTGTTATATAAATAAAACGTACAAATTATATATGGAATATTTTAAAACTATATAAAAATTATATAAAATAAGAAGTGTTAAGAATATTCTATTTTATCAAATAATTAATGAAAATATACAAATAAGTAATGTCAAAAAATCAAAATAAATACTACTCTGTAATTGAAAGAATTGTTTTGGACGGTTGGATGGAGTAATTTCCTCCCCAATTTTGTTTAAAGGATGGAAAATGTCAAAGATTGCTCAGAGAATTAGGAATTATGCATGTGATGGAGACATGAGTTGCACTTTAGGTGGAGAAAAATAAGGTGCTTTCTAAATTAAGGGTACCCCTAATGAAGTTTTGAGATAGTCTAGAGCCCTAATTAAGATTCTCTTTCGCGATTTGTGGGTTATTTGTTTTGAGATAGTCTAGAGCCCTAATTAAGATTCTCTTTCGCGATTTGTGGGTTATTTGTTTTGAGATAGTCTAGAGCCCTAATTAAGATTTTCTTTCGTGATTTGTGGGTTATTTGTTTTGAGATAGTCTAGAGCCCTAATTAAGATTCTCTTTCGCGATTTGTGGGTTATTTTAGTCATTTAAGAAAACTTTAATAACTCTAACTGCTGAATAACATTTTAAATAAAAAACTCACTGAAAAAATTGGGTGAATGTTCTATTTTGTAATGGGCATCCATGAATGTTTTATCATGTTCCATCAATAACCTAAAAGAGGTATATGACTATATGAGCTAGCGAGTGTCGAAGTAGGCCAACATTTCAGTTATGTCTATTTATGTAATTTTAATTTATTGTGCTTTTAATTCTATCTTATGCAATTTATTTTTATATGTGTTTACTTAAATTATATTTTAGATAACTCATTAAATAGAAATAAAAGTTAATAAAATAAAAGATGACAAAGTTTGAAGGTTGGGGTAGTTTTTATTAAAGTCTCGAGAAAAGTTTGGATTACTAAAATACTAATATGACAAAGTCTAAAACATTCTTAAGACTCTTATCATTGGGGATGCTCTAAGGTCCCTGTAAGTCTCTTAATTCTCGCGGCCCACACGAAGGCCTAAGGACATTTACAATTATTTCCCTCTCTTTCCGTCATATCATTATTTTTTTCCTTTTTCTTCACCATGCTAAAACACGTGTAATATTCACAATGCCTTCTTGTCATGCCTCTGTGTTTATTTTACATTATTCATAATTTTTAATTTAAAACTTAAATAAATTTAATAAATTTTTTATTAATTAATAAGAATAGATAAGTAATAAAAAAATAAATATGATTATAAAAATTTTTTAAATCAATTAAAATTTATTTTACATTATTCTTAATTTTTAATTAAGAATTTATATAAATAAAAACAAAATGCATATAATTTAAATAAAAATGATTACATTGACACTCTTTATTTAAAAACAACATAGTACATATAATTAGGAAATAATGCTAGAAATAACTATTGTTATGTCTCCAAATTTCTTTGATCAAAACGTTCTAGAAGGTATCATGTCTTCGCTCATCGCACATAGTAGCACGTCGATTTGCAAATTCTTATAAATTAGGTGGTGACCTTCGAGTCGTTGGACCATAGTTGCACTTGAAGTAGATGCATCCCCATCGTCCGCAAAAGTGAGTGACACTGGCTCCACCGTATTCATTTATCATGTTATGCAGTATAATACATGTAACATGATATCCGAGATGCACGATCGGCACCACAGGCGTGTGGAACCTTTGGCTATCACCCATCACATTCAAAGGACTCAAAATGCACACTCTGCAACTTTCTGTACTGAATCTTGTTTCTGCACTAACAATGCTCTCTTTGGATTTGTAGTACACCTGATAGTTTTCACAAACACTGGCTACCGTTAATAGATCCCATCCGCCAAATAACACCTCATGTTATATCAGCGACCGTTGGCAGTGAATTGCACAATCGGCGCACATCTAGTGCACACATCATTGGATAAAAGAGACCCATTCAACACGTTGAGATCATTACTCGACCTCGCGAATCTGAAATACGCATGTCAGATCCATAGATGATGGTGGACAACGGGCTCGAGTACGATCATCGGGTGTGAGCCCTTGTAAAGCACTTGTGAGTGCTCTCGTCCATGTCAAGGGACAACTTTCCACTCCCAATGCATACAGTCCAGGCTATCAATCATCCCTGAAACTCGTGCACACGTTTGTGCATATTGACTAACATACACCTAATGGTCTAAGACATATAGTTTTTCTAAGTATGTGTCCTTGAAAACGTTAATGACACCTCGATAAAAATGCTGCAAGCATTCTCAACCAGTAGAGTTGTCGATGTAACACCCCACCTCGCGTAACCCGAATAAATGAATATGTGAAACGGGTTGCTACTACATTGGAATCCAAACTCAATAATTTTCAAAATAATTTAAAACTTTAACTCAAAAATTATTTAAATATCCATTGGAGCAAACAAAATGGTGCGGAAGCTTAAATACTCAATTCAAAAGACTACTTTGGTTCTTAGCCCAAAAAACATATATAATAAATTCAAACGGAAACATTTAATTAAATAAACTCCTCAGTATGCATCCACTCATCTCCTCATCTTTGCTGCCTTCTAGGATGCTTTCCTTATTCATCAATCTTGTTACCTACGTGTAGCAGTAAGTAAAACAAACTGCATGCTTAGCTTTCACATTAAGTGAAAGATTCTAACAGTAGAAGTCACACATAGGATTACTTCAAAATACATAGGCACTCATATCATTCCATGCAACACATACTATCACATAACAACATCAAGTGTCACCAATATCCAATAATATCAAGCAATCCATAAATCAAACCTGGTTACCTAGATTACTAAATTCACTACGTTGCCAATTTAGGCATCTCTATCACATAATCTATATGTAGAGTTCGTAACCAACCCTCCTTAATTTTAAGCTCATAACCTATCCTAGCTTAAGGTCAATTATTTTTTTCTAGAGTTATGATTTAACTCAGTGGCGGAGCCAGGGAAGACTTTATAGGGGGGGGGGCAAAAATTCATTTAATAAATAAAAAAATTCATAATAGTAACTACTTTAATTGCAAAGTGCAACTAAACATACCTTCTATTTGTGCAAAAGAGTAAGAGTTGTTTGAGGTCGTAGAAAATGTTTTCGAGATGCCAACTTTTGTCTAATAATAACAAATTTATCCATCTCACGTCTCAAAATTTCCCAATTCAATAATAAAGTAACAAAATAAAATATAAATAACTTTAAAACAATAATTTCATACGAGTATATCTTAATCTCTAAAACTTGGAATTACATTAGCATTTATCAAATATTTAAATATCAACAAACACACTCGAACGATGAAACAAAATAAATATTCAAAATTCAAAACATAATTTAGAATTTAGAAATATTCAAAAAATTCCAAGTTCCATGACCTCCTTATTTTTTTTCGGCTGGTACTCCAGTACTCCGTATTTCATCAACTAAACATACCTCTGTAATTTTTTTGGGGGCTGAAATTTAAAGTACTCCGTACTTTTTTGGGCTGGGTCAAAGCCCAAAAGAATCTTTTTAAACCCTTTATAAAAACGACGTCGTACGGGATTTTTTCTTCTTCTTCGGGAATTGCTCCTTCCTCTTCGAGCTGTTGCCGCCGGACGGACCAAGGGAGCTTCGAGAAATCTGGGGGGGCAAATCCGGCCAACCTAATTCTATTTCGCCAAAATTTCGCCGGGGGCACTTGCCCAGGCATGCCCCCTCCCACCGCTCCTGATTTAACTACATTCATGAAAGAACCCGGTCGATACAACGTCATCCAACGTCGGCTGGGTGGGACCACCTACTCACGTCTATAAGTAGATTTTATACCCCCATGCACACGCTTTACCCAATTGGTCATGCATGCACGCTGACTCATCACAGTAACTCCTAATTATATTTTTATTAGTAATTTAACCTGTGCCACGCACGGGATCGAACAAAATTTTTATTGATTTTTTGAATTATCTTCAATGTAATATTTTTCAAATGAGTATGGAAATATATGTAATGCGTTCTTTAACTCTGTAAACATTAAAATCAAAGTAAAATAAATAATTTGGCATTTAATAATTGGTCATATAAATGTGTATATATAAATTCGAAAGTAAACACCTCCAAGTCTTTTTAAAAATTCATATTTTGTTTGAAAGCATTTGGGGAATATAACATTTTAGTGTGATTGCAAGAATTTTTCATTATTATTTAGAACTAATATTTTTAACCCTATTTTAGTTTTCACTTGTGAAACAATGACATAAAGTTAACTAAGAGTGAACTTTAACCCAATTAAAAATAATCCAAAAAATGATAATATTTGATATTGACTTTTATCCATAGTCATAACAAAACGTAAAACGTTCATCGTCATATATCTTCCTCTAGTTCTCATTCATTGTAGATATTTAGTACTCCCTCTGTCCTAAAACTATCTTCCTACATTCTTATTTTTAATGTCCTAAAATTACCTTCCCACATCCCAAAAAGGATGTAAAATGACAATCCTACTGTACCCTTACAACGTCTACTTCCCAAACTTTCCTCTCTATTGACATTCTTCCCCCCTCTTATCTTCGTCTCTTTCTATTCTCCTCCTCAAAACCTAGATCTAATCTAGGGATCAAAGTTGTAACCATCGTCATTCTTTCTCCCTCTTTTCACATGTCAAATAATATTTAATAGAGTCTAGCTCATAAATCAAATGCCACATAATATGTCTCATATTTTGCCACATGTATACTCCATATTGTGCCACATGTTAAGCTTTTATCCATCAAACTCTCAAATTTATATATAAAGGATTTTGTTTCTAGATTTACATACCTATAGTTCAGCTAGGTAGCCTATCCATATTCAAGCTCACGGTTTCTAAATATCGTTCACTTATGATCATGCAACACAGAAGTGAATCGTTCACTTCAAGGCAACCGTTGTTCGTGGTGCAGCAACTCAATGGACATCTCTTGCAAATCGACATGCTACTATGTGTGATGAATGATGACATGATACCCTTCAGAACGTTTTGATCAAAGAAATTTAGAGACATAACAATAGTTAATTTTAGCATTATTTTTAAATTATATTTATTATGTTGTTTTTAAATAAAAAGTGTCATTGTTATCATTTTCATTTTAATTATATGTATTTTGTTTTTATTTATATAAATTCTTAATTAAAAATGAAGAATAATATTTTAATTCTTTTTAATTTTTTAAAATTTTTTATAATACTATTTATGTGTTATTCTTTTTTATCCATTTTTATTAATAGATAAATATTTATTAAATTTATTTAAGTTTTAAATTTAAAATGATGAATAATGTAAATAAAAAGAGAAACATAGCGAGAATGGATAATATTACAAGCGTTTTAGCTTGGTGAAGAAAAAGACGAAAATAATGATTTGACTGGACGAGAGGGCAATCATTGTAAATGCCCTTATGCCTTCGTGTGTGCCACAAGAATTAAGAGAGTATGCGGGGACCTTAGAGCATCCACAATGCTAGGAGTCTTAAGACTATTTCAGATCCTGTCATATATTAACATTTTAGTAATTCAGACTTTTTCCTAGACTTTCATAAAAACTATCCCAACCTTTAGACTTTGTCATCTTTTATTCTATTAACTTTTATTTCTATTTAATCAGTTATCTAATACTCCATCCGTCCCACTATCTTTGTCCACTTACCTTTTGGCACACCATCCAATGCACTTCTTTAATCCATTTTATCTTGTAATTTGTATATTAAAAAATTATACAAATTATATATTAATAATCTATATGTTAAAACGAATCAAACAAGATCACACATGACTATTTTTAGGCTTACACATTAAGAGAATTTGATGAGTCAAAATGCTTAAATTAACAGTTCCAAAAGTTAAAAGTGGACAAAGACAATGAGACGGGGGTAGTATATAATTGTATTATACATTAAATTTTCTACGAAATATGTTTATAAATATAATTAATCATTTAAAAAATCAGCAACATAAAATTAAAGAAGATTATATAAAATTAATACACATAAAATACATAAAATAAAATCATTTAAGTAAACACATATAAAAATAAATTACATAAAATATAATTAAATGCACAACAAATTAAAATTACATAAATAGACTTAATTGAAATGTATATCGACTCCCATTTGATTGATTCTTAAGAGAATGCCAAACATAAAAAAATTAAATAAAAAAGTGCATAAAATAAAAATTACATAATACTCCGTATAAAAATAAAAGCATAACAAAATAATATTTTTATAAAGTTATGTTCGGTTCAATTTATTATTTTATTATTTATTCTTATGATAATATGATCAAACTAGAAATACTTTAAATTATACTCTGTAATTACAACCATGAGTATTGCTTTCATATCACATTTTCAACTTAACCTTATCTTGCTTTCAATAATCCAGTATTTGGCGTCAACTTTTGAGTGTCTAAAATCCAAGTATCAGTGTGACACTCCCCTGTAGCAAAATGGCTAAGAAGAAGAAGAGGAGAGTTCCAGAAGTGCTTTGGAGGCTATTCCACAACCGCGCCCGAACTCTTTGCGATACGATCATATCCTTGATTCCTCCGCCACCGTCTCCGGAGGCGGATTGCCTCTGCAATGGCCGTGGATGCCTTGGCTGCGGTGGCGCTAACGCAATGGCGTTTCTCCTCAGACCTACCGACCCTCCGGATTACCGGAAGCTTCTCAGTCACTGCTTTGTCGTCCTGGATGAAAGTGCTCCTTCGTTATCAGTCTTAGATCCTCACCACCGCTGGTCCCAGGTTGAGGTATATCTCAGAATACTCCTTATATACTTACTATGGCAGATTAATTTACAGCGAAAATGTGATTGTTTGTTCAATAGACCTTAGTTTTCTTACAAGATTATGCTCTTGTATGATCTTACTTGCAAATGGGTTGTTTTTATTAAACAGATTTGTCCTCATCGTTTGTTGTTATTCGTGAAAAATCCCAACATGAATTATATGTCTGTGAATTTTGTATTTTCATTTGAAAATATTCATGAGATGATATATCTTACTAAATGTAGATACATTCATTTCAATGGTTTCATAATGTAAACATCTTAGAGAGATTGAGGCAGTTTTGGTGAGTGTAAACTTTTACCAATTACCATAATATTCACAGTGGCTTTCAATGGGCTTGTTTCTTTATACTTCAATTATTTCACTAAAATCTTCAAACATGTGAAAGTGTTTTTTTAATTTTTTCAAAATTTTGACATCTTGCTGAAGTTCTCAAAGTCTCCTAGGTCTACTTACATCTCACTCTTCCTAGACCATACTTTTTTCTTCAGCATGTTTGGCTTGGTTTGATACTTTGATCAGGTGAGTTTAAAATTTGGCCAAAATAGCCAATGAAGCGTGACTTATCGAAATTGTGGGGAGAAACCTGAATAAACTGATCTAAAAGAAATAATGTCTAAATGTGACGGTACAGTGGCATTCATCTTCATTATTACCATTTAACCAGAAAACTAACACTGTCACTATTTTTTTAAACAGCTAGATCAAAGAGCACTAACCACTAAAGGTATAAGTATTTGTGGAGTGCATAAGAAATTAAAAACATTTTGATAATCAAGATAACATACTCTATGTGAAAATGTCCTGAATCTTGGTTATTCAAGGTGTTGAATTCGAGGAGTTTGGTACACTACTCATGCTCTCTCTCTCTCTCACACACACACACTCACTCTCTCTCTCTCTCTGGTGGATATGGCTATGTTATATAGTTCAGAGATTTCCAAAAACACCTCTAAAACTACCTCTAATATGAGAGCATTAATCATTATTAAGTCTGGCTTGTTCCATAAAGTGCTACTGATACTGGAGTTTTGGAAGTCCTTGCTTGATGGCTTGGCTCTAGTGGATTTGCATAGCTGAAGCTCTGCTCTTTGAATCCTGCTAAATTCAAGTATGTTTTTTTATTGTTTTTAAATTTAAATAAGATTTGCTCTTCCAGATTCTTAGAAGAACAATTGAAACAATGATGTCTGAGCAGCCCACCACATCTAATGTAATTTGCTATGACTATGATAAGGTGACTGCAACTACTTTTTCACCTTTTGTTTGAGCACAGTATGTATCAGTCTTCACCCTTCAGTTTTATCTTCTTAAAGAACATGTTGATTACATGAATCATTGGGTTGCAATTTTTTGACAGGCGAGCTGCTCAAGTTCTTTTGAGCTTCTGACATCCTCTGCATGGAGCCTTCTCTTGAGAAGAGTGAGTAATTTTTCTTTTTTTTCTTGGTTCCATCTTGGCATGCATATAACTATGCTTCATTGATGAATATGTAAAATTTATAGTTTATCTGCATTCTGAATGTATCATAAACAGGTTGGGGACGCCCTTATGATTTACATGCTAAGGAATGCATCAATATTCATGCCCTTTCCTCAAAAAGCACTCCATCAAGTGGCAGGTTTTCCTATCAGTGACCTGTGTTTCGCATCCTCCAAGCATACTTCCTGTGAGTATGAGCTTCATTTATTGAGGATGAGTATAAAATAGCTTTCCGTCACTAAAGCTTATGTTTTGTTTGAGGCTGTGTGCATACTTCAGCAAGATATCAATAGAAAATTCAGCAAACAGAAGGTCATAGGTTCAAACTCAATGTGGTTACTGTGATAACATTGCATCCTCATGTTTGACCCATAACAAATCTCAAAGTTTAGTTTTCTCACACAGATTAATGATGATTGTTACAGCATTACAGGTTTATTCCAATTTTAGGATATTGTGACATCTCTCAGTTTGATTTTCTAAATATAGAAGTTTACTTCTAGTAGGCAGTAGAAAGAGAAAAATCACTGATGAAATGTGGTCAACGTCATTGAAGCAACTATGCACTAGGTTTGTTTGCTCTCGATGTTACTTAAAGGTTAGCTTATCCTTAATCGGTGGTGATGATAAGAATAGTCTGATCTCATCCACCAACTGTTAGGCCAAGCTGCACCAAAGAGGAGTCATCAAATGGGACTTCGGCATCTGGTGGAGACATCTGCATTAGTAAAGGAGCACATTCACTTGCTATTGGACAAGGTTCCTCAAACCATTCTCTTTCATTGAACAGGAAACGGAAAAGACCCAGTAGTTGGCAACGTCATAGAAAACATCAGCTATTTCCAAATCAAGAAGCAACAAAGTCCTCAAATCCACACAGGAATTTGACAGAGAAAGGAGAATCACCTTCTGGTCTTCCACGTGAAAGAAGTGTTAGAGTAAGCTTTGCCTTATTTATGGAATATTTTGAGAGCACTGTTAGAAAGATTGTGTGTGTATACAATGTACACATGTAGCATGTGTGTGTGTGAAAATAAAATATGTTGAAGTGAAAGCATAGAGTTCTAAAATGCCTTCTCACAACAACAACAACAACAACAACAACAACCCAGTTGAATCCCACTACAGTAGGGTCTGGGGAGGGTGTGTGTACGCAGGCCTTTTCACATAGAGCTCAAAAATATGTTTATGGAGTTGTTTCTTATGCTGCTACCTGGCTAGAATGCATGCTTTTTGTCATTAATAAAACCGGGGAAATAAGCGTGGTTGCATTAAGTGTGAAAAAAAGCCAGAAGGAAAAATGTCATGTTCTTTAAGCTCTGCAAATTAATGGACGTGCAACTACAACTATTTTCTTTAATTGCTTTTTTAAAGGCCTAAGATTAGGTTTGCTTATATTTTAATGAAATAGAAAGATAATGACAAAACAGAAAGATCTATTATGAAATGCATTTGCATTTTTCTCTAAATTATAAATAGCAGCATTCGAAGTAAAACTTATAGACTCTTCATAACGACAGACAATGGGATGGTGCTCTTGTTGCCTTGTATTTTCTACTCAATTGAAACTCAGAGAGGAGATCATTATCAAGAAAAACACCATGTTCTACAAGCTAGAGAGTTGTTCAACTGTCTTTCCTGGAAAACGTATCCTTCCGTATTGCACATTTATGATAGTTTACTTATCATGTCTTAAAAATTTGATCTTCTGTTCCCATTTAAATCAATATTATTAACGGAAAACTACATTTCATGAAATACTACCTTCGTCCTTAAATAAAACTAGCAGTTTGATTTCACACACAGATCTCAAGAAAAATGCTGAAAAGTAATAGTTTGGAAGAGAGAAATATTGCAAGCCATGTATTCCTTTTCATAAAAGCAAATGGAGAAAGTGCAAAGTTTATTTTGGGATGGACGAAAAAGGAAAGTGTAAAAATTATTCGAGCACGGAGGTAGTATATAGCACATTACTCTAAAGCTTTGCTTGCTTTGATTTGCTTATATCTCTGTTAGACCACTCTAGCACTTCCCTATACATAACCTCTCTTGGCATTAAATAGTAAAAACTTGCGCTCTTTTATTCTTCAGAATGTGTTTACCATCTAAAAAGTGGTCAGATATACTGAATTCTTTGAAGCCCAACTCTTCTGGTGCAAGCAATCTCTTCAAGGAAATTTTTGGATCATGTGGTAGTAAGATCAATGGACATGTTTCACCTTGTGTACATAGCACTGAGTGCTGTTTCGTCAGATCAACATGCTTGTGAGTTATCCTTAGTCTTTATTCTTTCTCACATTTCCGTTTTTTAAATTAATTTTAATGTTTGTTGTACTTATTGAATTGTATGGGTTAAGATAGGAGGTTAAATAGAATTAACAAATTGGACACAGTATTTAGAGAAACAAGAAGAATATATAGATTTAATCTAATGCGGAAGACATTGTTTTTGATGGTTATCTCACAATCCATCAAGAACCACACAGGTATACCGACATACCGTATACCCATATACCTAGAGGTGCCTTTCCTGACGATGTCTTGCGTAAGCACATTTCATGTACACTAAAGGTCTAAAATCAGATCATGGTTAATCAGAATTGATTATTTGATGTGACATACCGTGCATTATATGGACAAACGGTTTGGCATTCTATGGTTACATCAAATTCAACCACTTGTCTCTTTTCAAGTCTTGGTAGGGGTGGGCATGAGACAAGATGGACCATCAGACCGAGATGGCTATGATCCCAAATTCAAATCATTTTTTTCATTTTGGGATGGAATGGGATGACAATCCAACCCAAACCCGACCTTAACCGACCTGTCTTGAATTTAAAATACCTGAATCCAACCTGAAAAATAGGTATTTGAATCTGACCAGATTGAGTTAAACCTGAACTGGAACTATGTCGGCCTGGATTCGGATCTGTACATTTACCGACCTGACCTGATTGCATTCACTATCATATTTGTTAGTCCATAGGCCAGAGTAAAGCCCAAGATTACTTGCAACCCTATTTATGGTGCCCACAGCCAACCCTGCATTACCTTATCTCCTCTCATCTCATCTTTCAGCGACGTCCAACCTATTCGGCACTTCCTTGCTCCTCTCATTTCTTATCCAAATATAATAGGGCTCGGGTATACTCTAATTCAAATCAAACCTGACCTTTGTTCATCCCTAATCTAATGGCATCCCATCCTTTTGGGTTCGGGTTCATTGGGGATGATTCAAGATCATGGAATCCATTTTTAAACAATAAATATTTAGCTTCAAATCCTTTAATAATCATCTCAAGGTCTAATAAAATGTCAAATTCAAATTATCTATACACATCCATGCCCTATGGCATACTACAAAGCTTTCAACACTTGAATATGCCAAAGAGATGCAAAGTTAATTTCTCAGTGAAACAAATGGAGTAAAGGTGACAGTAAAGTGCAACAACAACAACAAACCACGTAGAGTTGCACAAGATAGTTGGGTCTGAGAGGGTGTGTCTGCTCAGACCTTACCCCTACTTGAAGTAGAAAGACTGTTTCCAAGAGACCCGATTCAACACAAAAGCACAGACAGTAAGATGCTTAATTTCATAATACGAAGGAAGCTAAATAAACAAAGAGCCTAGATTAATGTTAAGTCACTCTGTGAATAACTCAAGTTAATATTACTATGTTATAAATACCATAATTATACAACTAAACAACAACCCAGTTGAATACCACGAGAAAATACTATAATTATACCTTTGTCCATTGCCAGTGGAGCTAGAACAAGCATCAGTGACAATGTTCTAGCTTCAGATAAATAATGGACTAAATAAAGATGCCACGTTAAATTTCCTTTGCGTCTTACTTTCTACAAAGTTTTGGGTAGTAAATGCTTCAATGCACCAAAGGTCTACCAGAAACAAACTTTGTTTTTTAGAGGTAAGTTTTAAACATTTTGACCTACCATGTGCCAACAAAATTGGATTATGCTTGGTTTGTTGTTGTAACTATAGTTATATTGTCGGGATGAGATAGGATCAACTTGGGATTGAAATTGCAACCCTATTATAATCCTTTAGTTTTGGGGAAGGGATGAGGTGTAATCCTGTTCACTAAAAACACATAATTATCCCATCCCAAATAACCCGGGATGGGACAGTTTCAACTCCAGGATTACAGGATTACATGCCCACCCCTAAGAGTTAATTTCAAGTTTTGTTTTTTAAACATGTGCTATTGTCCTCTAGATATCACTCACTCATTAGGCTGCTTAAAGTTCTCATACGTAAGGCTCAGCATTGTCAACACTTACGGCTGTTGGAGAAGCACTGTCCTATTCCATCAATGGATGAGGTTGCCAAAAGAGAGTGGTGTGATGATTATCAGGTTAGCAATGTTATTTTTTTGTTTCTTTGTTTAACCCGATTCAAAGTAAGTGAGTTGCATTCATATATCGCTGTGTGTGAATTTGACTTTTTCCTCTTAGCACATCATACATTTGGAACAAAAAGCTAATGGACTTTGGTATTAAATGGTGGGCTGGAGATAATTTATCTCAACATTTAGTGAATGATCTGTGAAGTGTATATCATTATTCCCGAGCATTTTTACAAATGCTCAGATTTATTCTAAACTCAATGATGGGAATTCTATTGTATGTCCGAGTGACATTCAAAAAACCCAGCCCCCCCTCCAAAAAAAATAAAAAAATCCCAACCCCAACCAAAAAAGATCCTCACACTGTTTTTTCTCCCTTGTTCCGATAGATAACATAATCATAGTGTTTTCTTTGCTGCATGCATTGACTCTGTCATTTTTTGTGTGATGTGTTTTTACTTGTAAGGAAGAGCATGTCTCTGGTATATTTGTAACCCATTTCCATTTGTGTGTTTATCTATCACAATTTATTGTCCAAAAAACTCCTAACACTTATCTGTGTCGCAATTTCTGAATTCTGATTACTGGATTCAGGGAAATCAGTCAAAGGCAAATCCACATGCAAATAGCTGTACTGCATACATACTTGGAGATGAATTGACACTGACAGGAGATGTTTTTAGCTCAAAATCTCATGAAAGCTTCACTACACAGCATTCTCTGTTAAGACCAAGTGCGTGTTATTCTCTGAAGAAACAAGTTGTATCATTTGTTTGGGCAGTTAGTCGGAATATTGTGCCCCCAGATTTGTTAGGAACTCCATCCAATTGGCGGCATTTGACGAAGAACATCTCCAGGTTAATTCAAATGCGCAGATTTGAGAAATTCTCTCTTAGTCAGTGTCTGCATAAACTGAAAATATCTAGGTTCCCTCTGCTTTCGAGTATGTGTGAAGAGATGGGTGAAATTGATGCCTTAGATGTTGTGAGACATAAAGTCCTTGAGTGTTGGGTGTTTTGGTTCTTTTCATGTTTTGTAGTGCCACTGGTGCAAGCCAACTTTTATGTAACTGAAACTGAACATGAGAATCAAGAGGTTTCTTATTATCGGAAGTCTATTTGGAAGCAGGTAAAGGTCGGAACTATGACTTGCTTAAATGATCAGCGCTTTCTAGAATTAAATGCAGCCTCTGCCAGGGAAATCTTGAGAAAAAGATCATTTGGATTCTCGAGAGCTAGGTTTCGTCCAAAGAAAAATGGGTTAAGGATATTGGAAAATCTTAAAGCACCATCAAGAATGCCCGTGAAGTTTTCCTCCCAATCCAATGTACAGAGAAATGTTTCTCTCATGAGAAATGTCAAGTATGACTATTTTAGGTCGGTAAATTGTGCTCTTCGTGATTTGCATGCAGTGCTAAAAGGGATACAAAAAAAAGAACCCGAGAAACTGGGATCATCTGTATTTAATTATAATGATGTCTACAACAAGCTTGTTTCTTTTGTGACGAATCTCAGGAATGATTTTACAGCAATGCCTGATGTATTCATGATTGTATCAGATGTAGCTAAAGCTTTTGATTCCATAAACCAGGACAAATTGTTGACTGTGATGGAGGACATTGTATCAGATGAAGAATATGTTTTAGAAAAAAGTCTCCAAGTTGTGTGCACAAAGAAATCTTTGTGGGTCAATCAGCATCTGACACTTGCACATGAGACTGTCACATCTTCCCATGCAGTTCGTCCATTGCATCACGTTCTTGTGAAACAGGTATCCTCATAACTTTAGACCGCCATATAGGAAGGGTAAAAAGTATAGAGAATGGTTTTTGCTTTTTTATTTATTCCGAATGTCATAATAATCCTATAATTTTTTTACAAAATTAATGTCTTTTATCCACGCCTCAAGACAGAGACCAAGGACTAGGGTAGTTGGGTAGGCTTTTGGGCTTGGTAGTTGTTTTTGCTGTTGTCTGAGGAAAAGATTCATATCCTTTGGTGTCTAGAGCAAATAATATTTGATCCAACAGGAATCCANCAAAAAGAATGAAGCAAAAGAACAAAATAAATTAACACATAAACAGAAAGGGAAAGAAGTGTTAAAACTTTTACCAAAATTTATGACTTGATGACTTTATTCATTATCAGTTTTTTGAACTGCCATTATGGTTTATATTCCAAAATCGGTTTTAAATTTTTGACTTCAGGATTTATATATAGTAGTCTGGTTGATGGATTATTGGATTAATGATTAGTTCAAGTTAAGAAGTTTCCATCACTAGCTATTCAAAATTTCAAACTCAGTTTTTCAATGTTCGTGTG